ATTTCTGCATTGCCCTTCATGTGTTCCTGGCTCTTCTTCCTGCTAAAATAGGAATCTTGACCTCAACGTCCACCAGCCTGACCCTACTCAAACCTCAAGACCCCTTCCTCCAGGATGACCTATGGTTAGTCCTAGTGCATAGCAAGCTCTCTTCCCCTGAGCTTTGCTTGCTCTCACCTACAAAATCAGAATTAGTAGTTCACTACAGATTATGTGCAGCACTATGTGGTGTAGTCTCTCTTCTCTCTGTGTACATGTATGTATAACAAACTGTTATTTGCTAATATGTTTATATATGCATCTGGTTTCTCTGACTAGAACACTCTCTGAAAGCTCATTGTGTACAGAATTAATGCCTCATGTCCTATATTAATTTAGTACAGTGCTGGGCACCTCACTGGTTTCAAATAAGTCCTTACCAATTGACGGACCAATCAATTAACAAAATGGAAAATCCAGCCAGCAGGCTCAAGCTTTGTCTATCAGAAAATACTTTCCTGAAAAGCATTTTTCCTTCCTTTACAGATCAATTGCAAAGTCAAAATTCAAACACTGCAGGTTTCACAAACAGGAATAGCTGGCAAGTATTGGGCTTTACAAATAACGCATGCGGACACCAAAACAAAAGTTGTAGATGTTTGTGAAGGTATACGGATGTGGTGGATATGAGCAGAGATGGCTGAGTACCCCTCCTCCCAGGCCCAGCAAAGGGTAAAGCCAACCCCGATAGAGCTCAGCATTATTGCGTGGCTTCCAAATCACAGGAATGTTCCTGGAATATCGTCTAGCTTCACCAATTGCAAAAAACCCCCATGTATTAATTGGGCAAATCCCCCTTGTTTGCTGTTCTTTCAGACCTTTACAGCCTCTATAAATGAAGACAATGAAGTCCGTTTCATTAGGAGATAAGCCTACACGTCGTACATCTCTGTAGTTAATACTGCAGTAAGAAGTGGAAAGAATAGCAATCTTTTTATATTGCCTGTTAGAAACCCTAATCTGGCTTTCTCTATAGGAGGACAATACTGAAAATTGTACAGCCAGCCTATGCTAATCAATTATATTTATAAGTACGTCATAGGTTTGATTCAACCTCTTTCGGATTAAGATCAAAATGGCAAATGTTCAAATCCCTTCTAGCATAAGGCACTAGAATATAATTCTTTTATAATATGAGATACATACATGCCAGGTAGCATTATTTTTCTAGAATAATAATATTTGCTCTGATTCAGGGCTTCCTATGTGCCAGACATTGTTTTTAGCACTTTAGATAGATCAAGCTATTCAATCTTCAGAAGGGCCCCATGTGGTAGGTATTATGGTCAGCTCTCCATTCTATTTATGAGGAAACTGAGGGGCAGAGAGTTTGAATAAGTTTCCCAAGGGCAAGTGGAGACTTCAGAGGAATAACGATTGCTGTGCATTAGTTGCTGAACCTAGGAAGAAGCAGATCTGGTATTTGAGACAGAACAGTCTGGTTCTAGAATTGGTGTCCATAAGCACTGCACTACATAACCTCTAAGGAGTTTGTAGGCTCTAAGTGAGGGACGTGTGTACGGGTGGAAAGGTCACATGGCTTGCCTTCACGTAAGCCTGGTTTAAACCTCAGCTCTGCAATTTACTAACTGTGTGGCCTTGGACAAATTATTTAACATCACTGAACCCTTTGTTTTTCAACCCCATAGTGAGGATGATACTGCTTATCTTGTAAATTGGTTGTATTTGCAAAGATCTATATAAATCACTTATCACAGTATATAGTATAAAGTAAGTATTCAATAATTTACTGTTATTATTCAAAAAGTAGCCCAAGATTTGATATTTTATAGCACCTGCATAATCCTCTATGCGTTCACAGGTAAGTTATTGAATAAACTTCAAATAAGTGGAAGTACATTGGGCCAGAATTCTTTAGGAAAAGACAATGATGTAGCTACATGTGCCCTAATTTCTACATTAATAGTACTCATTGAAATTATTAAAAGTTCTAATACTTAACCTGTTGATCAAAGGGGTTAAGTCTAAGGTAAGAGCTAATGTTATTCCATTTCATATTATTGGTAAATTTATTTCATAATAGCCGAGTGAAAAAAAATCTAGCTCAATGAACTTTTAGTTGTATTGTCAGTAAAATGCACGACAATGCTGAGCAATATATGTAATTTTATTGGCTCGAAAGTTATGCATGTCTTTTCAAAATCAGCTATAAAAATTGATCTCACCCCCATTCCCTCAAGAAGTCAATAGCAATCTTTGAATTTCTTGTTTCTTTTCCCTCTTGTAATAACCTCACATCTAATGAAGATGAATTTCCAAAGATGAACCTCAGGGAGTTAATAATCTATCAAACACAACTATTTAAAAGAGAATACGAATCCTTAAGTAGAAATAATACCTGGCTTTGGGTTGCAAATATTACCAAAGCTGCGCAGAAGGAAATACTCAGCATTGAAAATTAAAGAACAAGACATTCTGGTCATTGCCTACATCTCTGTAGCCCCCCTCCACAGTCCAAAATGACCCTTCTATGAAGGATCCCCTACGTTACCAGGAACAGGATCCTTTGTCTCTAAAGGCCAAAGCTGCTTTAATGCCATCACGTACCACAACCAAAGGTCCTGGGAGCCCTTTTCCAAGTTAGCACAGCTGTGCTCTTAAGTGTGCCAGAATGGGGTGATGAGGCATATTTTGAGGCAGCTGTGGTAAGGACAACTCCTCAGTTGTTAGGCATGATGGAGGCAGAGACCTGGATTTAAACCTTTATCGTTTCTCACTTTTTGGCAGCCACAGGACCTTGATTTCTTTATCTTATTTGGAGGATTACGTGACTTGTAGATCTAAAATGTCTAGTGTACAGGATACAGTAGACAATAAATGATAGATGTTGAGTTGTTTTAATGTTTCAAAAATTTGACAGGGGTTGTCATGTGTTGGGTATTTTGATCCATGTACCCTCAGGTAAGGGGAAATAAGTCAAATAGAACTACTGCATCTCATATTTTCAAATAAGTATCAGGGAACTAAAATGGTACTTCTGACAGCCTTCCAGACTATGGCAAAAGAGACCCATTGTGTATCGTTAGGTACACAGAGACACGGCATGAAAAAAGAGGGGGAATCACAAAGGATCTCAAACTTAAACTCTGATTCTCTGCTCAAAGGAGATTATATAAGTCTCAGAGACAGGATTAAAAGAAGACATCATCACCCAGTTAAAATAAGTGTGTATTTTGTTTCATGTGACTATGCTTCTCAAAGGGCACTATGAATCGGTATTTTTCATAAATCATCTAAATCGCCAGCAAATAGCCTTCTGATACTGCATTGTACTTCTGGTGTTAAAGCATTATTTTTAAAAATGCAAACATTTATAATACAGAAGAATTTGATAAACCTAGTATGGCACGGCTTCCTCTGTTCATAGAGTAGGATTCTCAAATAACAAAGTGACTTAAGCCTCCCTTTGCCTCGAAATAGTTCTGCCACGGTGTAAAGAAACCCATTGACTATCTGGTATAACCTAAAATATAGTTTTATTGTGATAGCAAATCCATATTTAATAGTAAGGATAAGGATAAAAACTCACCTTTATTGATCATGTACTAAGCGCTTTGAAAGTACTTCAAAAAGCAATGCCTCACTGAATGCTCTCAACCATTGTACGAGACAGGTACTGTTATTTATTCCATCTCGTACATGAGGAAAGAGAGGCTCAGAGAAGCTCAGTAACTTGCCCAGGTGGGTGGCACAGTGCTTGAACCTGAGCAGTCAAGCTCTGGAGCCCACGCTCCTCCGCAGTACTCTCTAGGGTAGGGCACAGATTCATGACCCAGACTGCTTTCATTGGCCTTTCTTTTTCTTATTCTATTTACTATTCCAAATTAATTTTATGCTTCTAAACATAGGCTTCTGAAACCAACTTTTTATTTTGTGGATTTTTTTTTTTTTTTTTTTTTTTTAGTGTCCTTAAAAATAAACAGCTCTTTACTTTTGCTCTAAGGTACATGTTTTCCTCACCTGCAGGGGCAGCTGTCCCATTCCCCCACCATATAATAGCCCCTCGGTGCTCCCCCGGTTAACAGCAAATCCAGATGCCTTTTCACTCACTGCTCTCTCTTCAGGCCTATCCCAAGCATCTCCCCAATCGGATTGCAGCTGCCTCAGGCCAGGGCCTCCAGAAAGGTCCTCTGGTTTGTCAACCTCCTGGGCTTCTTGGCCTGGGCCTGCTGGAACCGACAGGCATTTGCACCCCCACTTATCCCAACTGCTGTGGTTACAAGGGGCCTCTTTTCAATGCAGACAGCCAGTCAGCCAAGTCGAAATTTATACCAGAAATCTATTACCTAATTTTTAAACAAAATGACATGAAATCAGACTTGAAGATATCAAAAACATGTCTAGTTTCTGATTTAAGCAAGAAAATCCACATTGTTATTGCTTCCACCACAGAATAATTTACTGCAACAGGAGTTCTGGATCTTAGGCCAAAAATGAGGTCCTCTAACCAATGTCAAGGCCAATTATCTTGTGGTAGATCCCACAACAAAAGCAGACTATTGTGATTAGAATCAGAAGCACCACCCAGAGAAGCTGGAAAGCTTCTGGGGATTTCTTAAGTTAGTTTTTATTCTTTCTCCCTGCATGTCTGCTTAAATAAACTACCAGCAACTTTGTGTGTGGGCACGGAACATCTTAGATTAGTCTGGGAGACAAGGAGAGGGCGACCAGGTTTGTTTTGAGCTGTTGAGCAGGAGCCAGGCTGCGAGACCGTGTGTGTGTGTGTGTGTGTGTGTGTATACACACATATATATGTGTGTGTATATATATATATATATATATATATATAAAACACTGCAAAGATCACCACAGCCAAGCCCCTGGGTAGGTCTTGACCTCCTCCCTTCCCTGATCTCCTTCCCAACCACATTGCCGGTAGCCAGCCTGCGGTTTCCTACCGGGAAGGGAAAGCCCAGGTGGCCACGTTCGGGAACACTCACCCCACGGTAAAGAACTGCCTCATCTCCTGCCTCCGAGACCTCATCAGCTGCTTGTACTCCCCGATTCGGAGCTTTTTGCCATCAACAATGCAGGTGCGTTTCGGTCGAGGTTTGTATTTATAGTTCGGGTACTTCTCTAAGTGGATCTTGCTTAGCCGGGCCTGCTCTTCATAATAAGGTTGCTTCTCTTGGTTGGACATGGATTTCCAGCGAGACCCTAAACATAAAAATAGCCTTCAGTACCCGAGTGGTCAGGGCCCCATGTTGGTGGCGAATACCGTATACACCTTCCCACGGCTTCGCTCGCGGGCGCTCTGTGTAGCCCCTGCCAACACACACCACAGAGCCTCCCAAGTAGTCTTTCATAGACGCAAAAAGCAAAAGATAACTTCGCATGTGATACATTTATTACATTATTTCTGTCGATAACTTAAAGCTGGTGCTACAAAAGACGTATCATTTTAAAACACATCTCTTCTGCTTAAAGATCACCTCCTGTGCCAAGGTCCTTCCCCGGTTATCGATCTGTCTTTCTCTCTCAAGGGGTGAAAAACCTACACTTCCAACGGGGACTCTCAAGGCTGATGGGATTCTCAGGAAAAGCTCTCCTGGTTGCAGAGATTCAAACATCTCCCACCCTTGTCCAAGCAGCTTTAGGGAGGCTACTCTGTGATAAGATGTCAGTAGATGCAGCTATCCTTCCGTATATAAAAGACCCCTGTGGACACCGTCGCCCCCGGCCCCGGGGTAATTAAAAAGCCTAAACCCTACCTAAGAAGTTCTAGCTTTCGAGCCGGAAGCTACAGTTGGAATTATATACACCATCTTCAAGTACTATAAACGTTCATTTAAACCTGTACCAGTGACAGCACAAAAATTTTTAATGTGGTTTATAGAGGAAGAAGGAAAAGTATTCACTTCTCTAATATTGTTTATAAGGAATTATCTAAACACTTGACGAAGAAGGGATGTGTTTTTTTACATGTATCAAATTGCATTTTTGTGTCTCGCTGGTGAATAAAGCGGTAACAGCTGTGCTGACTGGATGTTAGCTATTCTTCAGTGGAGATTTTTCATACATAAACAAATGGAAAGTTGTGCAAATATTCTCTGTAGCCAGCAATATCCTGGTCTGCTTTAATAGCACATCCATCCCTGTTCTTTCCTGATTGTTGTGCAAAAGTTGTGTAGACAGTCTATGCAGATCGGCTTCTCTGGGTTCCGCTGACTCCCAGTAGCTTAAAGCCCAGTTTAACAGAGGATTCTTGGTGCTCTTGAAATACTTGTGCTTTAAAGTGTATATTTTCATGAATACACTTACTATATTCTTAATAAGTTTTTTCACAGAACGCACACCAATAATATAGATTCCCCACAGCTGCCAAAATGGAAACAGAGAGGTTCTGTGCCCATATGAGAGTCTACTCATGCTGCTATTAAAATGGCCAAAAAAAGGGGAAAAAAGAAAATTTCAAAGTTAAGTTCAAATTTCAAGGACAGAGGAACACTGATTTTCTTTTAAATGTCTATTAACTAGAATAAAAATTTAATATATCTATGAGGAGCTTTTTGGTTTGAAAGGTACTTAAGTTGAAAAGGAATAACACTATCCCAGATCATATCTCAGAATCTCTAAAAATAACACCCCGTTTAATTGGGATGACATTTAGTATCCATCTTTAAATTCAAAAATCAAAAGGGAACAACTTATTTTTTCTTAACATTTCACCACCATTTGATCTTATGTATGTTTTAAATTTTCTTAGAGGTTACTGCTTCCCCATGTCTCAGAATCAAGTTAAATTATTTATACAGTGACAGAACATGTGTATTTGTGTATGTCCAGATCACCGATATTTACTAAGGTTAAATATTTATTGCTTTTGAACAAAACATTTAAAAAACGAAAACCACAGTTTAAGTCTCTAATGTTTTTCAGCTTTTTAAATGGCTTCTTTTGAGATTTTGTCACATCGTGACAGCTTAAATAGAACAGTGCCTTCTGTGTTTTTTCTTTTTAAAGAGGAAACATGTTGACGGTAATGCTACATGTTGAATAAAATATGTTCAATATGTTGAACACAAGAATTCCAAACTGTATCATCTGCACCAGGCAAGCTTTACTCTCAGAGAATGAGGCTTTGGTTTAATCCTGAGAAGCAGGAGAATCACTCTGGCAACTGACCACAAAATGGGCCTCTGCCCTGTGGTCTGTGTGTTCAAGTCTCTGCTCTAAAATCTGAACTAGTCATATCTTATTAAAGTATATGCAGTTTCATTCTATGAGTTTTAAAGTGATCATTCGAGGCCCTGTTCAACACTCCAGGAATTGCACACGATTTGGGGGCTCACCCCAGTTCCTGGTGAGAACCCAAGAACACTAAAGCAGAAAACTGTAGCATCTGTGCACCTTTCTGAGGTTACGTAGCAACTTAGGGATTGAAGAAGGCTGAATAAGAGGAGATCGAGCTTGTCTCCATGGTTCCTGTTTAGCGGTGACCTCTCTGAGTTGCCAAATTCACAGCATATAACAGACTGTAAATAATTTTGTCTCTACAGTAAGTTTTTAGTCAGTCCTTCCCCAGCACCCGGGGACCTGTAACCCTTAAACCTAAATGCCAGGCTGCGGGATGGGGGACCCAGAGATGATAACCAAGACTCCCGAGGCAGCCCGCTGAGCTACATCCAACGTCTGCAAACCACAGTCTCCCTCAGGGCTCAGGGGACGCCCCTGTTTACCACTCTCGGGGCTCAGGGGAAGGCGGGTAGAAGGTCAGCATCAGAGACTGCACTCACCTAAGATTTTGCTAATGTTGGAGTTATGCATGTCGGGGAAGGCCTGAAGGATTTTCCTCCTCTCATCCTTCGCCCAAACCATGAAAGCATTCATTGGTCGCTTGATGTGTGGCTCGCTGCTGGCCCTGCTGCGGGCATCCCTGTAGACTCGTGCTTCAGCCACAGTGGCGCCTCCTGTTGGCCAACAATAATACTGCTGTAGTTTAGCTGCAGAGCCATTCATTGCTTTGCTTCCTGTAATGTCAGGGCAGGAAGAACAAGACAGGTGCAAAGCATTATTATCTGAGTAACGTAACACAGCTTGTGCCTGCTTCGGCCAGTTTCCCTAGGCCCTTCTCTGCTCTTTAAGTGACCTCTTGGGAGAAGATGGTTTCAAATGACGATTCTACAGGCCCTTCTGATGGAGGCCTCAAAGACACACAGGGAAGAATTAATTCTGCATGTTTTATACACCTGTACATTCTTGCTACAGTCAGTTGCCGGGGTTGGTTTGGCATCGACTGGCATTATTTTATTAACCTTTCCTGCTGCGGGTCCTCCCTTCAAAAGCAGGCTCCCACCTATCATTTTAGCCTCATTTGCCAAAAATTGCCGCACTTCAGACTATCTCTTTACCTCAAATAGAATACTTTCACGCAGTACTACGCCTTGTCCCTTGCTCCTCTCAGTGCCCGGAAGCCCCTTCTCCTCATTCTTCATGAAATGCAAACAAGTCCCACTCATCCTTCAAGGCCTGTTCCAAATGTGGTGTTTCACGAATTAATTAATTCGATACAAAATATTAACTGAGCAATTACTATGAGTTAGGCATTATGCCAGGGCTTAGGGAGGCAAAGGCAAATAAAACAGACTCTGCTTTTAGGGAGCACACAGAACAGAGGGGCTACAGACCCCAGGCAATTATCACAGAGTGTACGATCAGTGCTACAATATTGAAGTGAACAGGGTGCCAAGAGGGCATCAGACAAGAGAGTCAGCAGAGGCGATGTCTAAGCTGTGTTGTGGAGGATGAATAAAGATCAGCACGTGAATAGAGGAGGGCTGTAAAGACAGATGGGAAGGGTAATTCAGGCCATAGGAACAGCATTTGCAATGATGTTCCCCGGGCTATATTCATTCCTCTTTCTTTTATGCTACATGCTCCAAAGTAATTACTTGTTTATGGGACTATCTCTCTCTGATCTTTCCACTCCATCCTCAGGAATATGAAACCCCTAAAGTTGGTGTTTATGTTGTACTCATTCTTGTATCCCCAGGATTTCCCATGTAATAGATATTCAATAAATATTTATTAAGTAAAAGATTGGTTTTCAACTTCTATGCAAACTAGTAGACTAAAAGGCATTTATTTCAAGGGTCCTGATATGTTTTTCTGCTGTTTAAGAGTCATTCTTTAATGTTTCCCTACGTAACTACACCTAAATCTCTGACATTTTATCATTTCCGAAGAGGTGACTCCGGCTAGTAACATACTAGATTGAAATCCCTTTGAGAATATGGCAAGAACTGGCTCTCGTTCACTGCTGTATCCCTACGTTCTAGTAAAGCACTTGGCATATAGAGTTTTAATTATAAACTATGTTAAATTAGTGAATGATGGGACAGATGAATGAATAAATGAAACATTTTCAGGGACCCTACTAGCGTGACACACGAAGCATGCTTTGCAATGTGGCATCTACTAAATAACCCCCCCGCGATAGATTGAGAAACTTCTATAGCTAAACGTAAAGTGGTTGGACTGATGGCGTCAGCCAGGATTTCTGCTGCATAAACAGGAAAGCCTACTCCTAAAAGTTTAGAAGCAAAATATACATTAAAACCAACATTTCCACTTTCTGGAAAAAGTAAAGCCTTTCAGCTCAGTGGAGTGATTATACAGGAACAACATGACCCAATCAATCTCTGGCCCTTCTACTCTATTTCTAGATACCTTGATTAAGTAGAAATTTGTTTGTGTCAGAGCTAGTAATAAATTAGAACATTAAAGTGCACTATTATTTGACAAATATGATCATCATTTATAGCAAACAAAAGACAGGATAAAAGGGCCCAACCGGCTAATATTATCAATTCTTTTCTAAACATGAAAGAGGGCAGAGGGGCCACTATTTGAAAAACATGCAAAAATAATATATTTTATAAACATCCCTTCTTTTAGGCCTACTAGACAGAATGATCCCTTACATGAAAAGTCTCAGACCCCAAGATGCATAACTAATCTGCTACCTTTTTGCCACCATACCCACAGTACATTAATTTCATTTAAAATGCACTGACCATACAGGATAAATTGATTTCACTTTATATGGGTTTGACAGCCATGTTTATTGTGCAGTGAAATGTAGTGTAGCTTCCAGCTGACAATATCCATCAACACAGGGCAATATGCTGACTGCTGGGCCAGATGAAGGAATACATTACTCTGGAAGTGAAACACTCATTCAGATACGACAGTGTCTTCTCCTGAGGATCACCACGGTAATTTATGATGCCCTCAGTGCCATTACTTTACAACTGACATGGATTCAGCAATTTATATACTTGCATGCATACACATAAAAGGAGACAGGCTTGTGGAGAATGTCAGATGCAAAAACATTTCAATATTATTCTAAGTTAACTACTATGCCACAGGTGATTAACATTTGAGATCTGCTTTTACTGTCCTAGCTTTCTCTCCACCTCCAGCAAAACCAAATAGTCGACTTCTATTTATTTATTCATTTAAAAGATGTATTTCATTGTGATGCGAAGTTTTACTCTTCTATGGACTGATAGAAATCATGGTGGATTTTTAGCCCCTAACTTTAGACCCTGATTCTCCCAGACATGTCTTACATAGGTTCTATCTCTCTCTCTCATTCATACTTCAGTCTTAATATATCCTCCCTATTCTCTTCTATCCCACTAAATTCTACCCTTTTTCCAAGGGACAGACTCAGGTCTCACCCCACCAAGTACCCTATATTGGCCTTGCCCCTTTCTCCCATAGTACATATGGTCTATGTGACACTGACCGTGAATTAATTACATAGGACTCACAACAAATGTTCCCATAAATTTAGAAATTCAAGCACAATACAAAGTATAAAAATGTGAATTAGGAAATGGAAAATAGAAACACCCCAAGTGCATTTTTTTTTTTTTTTGCCTCCTCTCCTCTCTTCCAAAGAAAGTCAAGTGGAAAATGAATGGGGACATCCTGACCTAAACTAGGACTGTTATATCAGCAAACCACGAGTTGAAGAGAGGCTTATCCAGGGAGGCCAAGGTTTGAAACCACTTTTAAACCAGATCTGATATCTGATCAGAGTCAGAATTTTAAGGACATATTGAAGGCACTAAACCAAAAGAATATTTAGAAAGTGTTCCTTAGCTTCCCTAAACTTTGCTTCATGAAACAAAATGGTTAAGGAATTATTGTTGCAGCAGTAGAAATACATATGACTGGATAGGTGTGTATAAATTCAGAAGTTTTAAAATGAAGATTGTATATTATGTAAGCCTTTTTAAACACCTAAGGAAAATTCTATAGAATAACACAGAATTATTTTCAAAAGGTGTGCTATTAGTCTAAATAGTTGAAGCCTAAAATCCACCTTCTGTTATAATTAAAATCTATATCTCTAGTGTGACTTCAACCTGCTTCATTCATTTTTAAAAATAACACCAAGTTAAAAAAAAAAAAAGTACTTTATTCTAAAATAGCCAATGCTCTGTGTCAGAATCCAGAATTGTCCTAGGGAATGTCTCCCAATTCTATGAAGCAACCTCTTTTACTTTTAAGAGCAGAGGACTCATCTGTGAGTTCATTATTCACAATATAGTTCCTCACAGAAAGCAGTTTGAAGGAGCTTAGACCCAAAGCTTTATACCTAAAAACTACTGCTTTCAGACTGACCTAAGAGTCTTTCATTACAAGCGGTAGTAATCCTAAATGACAGTTACTGGAAGGCCAGGAGGCCAACACCGCCACAATAGGCACCATGGGAAAGCAGTATTCCCTGCACTCCAGGAATTCCTGCTCCCTTCAGCTTTGCCAGGGGGCTTGGTTTGATTAATTCATCCTTTGTCTCCCCATATCATAGTCTGGGTAAAGGCAAACTTTCAGTTAGACAAAGTAAGATAGTCCATGGGGAGAAAATAGAAATTGCCAAGGCAAAGACTTCCTTAGAAATCTGTGATTTAAATGATTTAAAGAGAAGACAGAAAGTTGAGTTTTTCCAGGTGGGTTGGAAAGAAGGCCAGTGTAACCATCATAGACTATGGCAATGATCCTGAACTAATCCTAGAGAGGCCCCCTTCCTGGGTAAATTCCAAGGGTTATGTTAGTGAATGAGTAAGTGTTTGGTATGTGTATATATATAAAGTTCTCCCTAAGGAAGAAATTTGGCTAATTCTATAATGTGCCTAGTAATCACTTATTTATGCACTAATTCAGCAAATACTTCTGACACATTTCAGATAGACCCAAACTTGTGATTGGGTATACAAAGAATGATAACACATGTGCCTTTTTTTAAAAGAGGGATTTGGTTTAGTGAGGGAAATGGACTCATAAATAGAAAATTACAAAACAGTATAAGTGCCCACAAAGGTAATTTTAAAATACTATGAAAGCAGAGAAGAGAAGCTATTGATGTTGTTGGAATGAACAGAGATGACTATCAAGGAAGCTTCAGAGATGCATTGGTACTTGAGCAGCATCTTAAAGGAAGAAGAAAAATTTACTGGCAGGTATGAATTTTAAAGTATTCTAGGCTGGAGAATTAGTGTGAACAAAGGTACAGAGTTATAACAAAAGATTGATAGGATTTTAGGGTATTAAAAGAAGCTGGCTATGCTTGGGCTTATAGAAAAAAATAGAGGAGTGCTAAGAGATGAAATTAGAAATGTAAGTAGGGGACAGATTGTTAAGTACCTTGAATGCCAAGCCAAGAAGTCTTTAAAGCTTTTAAGCAGGTTAGTGACTTGAACAAATATATTCAAAGGAGACATCAACATGGAAACTAAATGAGAAATTCTCTCTGACTGGTCTCAATGATTACTAATGAACTGATAATAAATCTATTATTTATAATCTACAATGTACAATATATAGTAAAAACTACAAGTTGTGGGTGGCTCAGTTAGTTAAGAGTCTGCCTTCAGCTCAGGTCATGATCTCAGGGTCCTGGGATGGAGCCCCACATCGAGCTCTCTGTTCAACAGGGAGCCTGCTTGCCCCTCTC